TGCTCGGCAGCGCTCCAAAAATACACCTGTAATTAAAGTATACATATGTATCTTTCATATCATTGTAAATAAATATACACAAGGTAAACTGTGTTTGTGAGCGTGGGTTTTTTTTGTTGTTAATTAATCACCCGATCCGACTAATTCGAGCATAGTCGTATCATCGGATTGTTGTGCGTGTCGTCATAGCCGTTGTCGACTGTGCGCAGAAATGATCATAACCTCACAACGAGCTGCGCAAGAGGCAGCTGCTGTAGCTTTACCTGGTCTCACCTGAGGACGACGAACTCCAAAAAGAGCAACAAGTATACAGGGTGTGTGTAATATATACATACGTACCTTTAAAAGGGAGAAAGGAATCACCATCACAGTTATACGGAGCAACGGCAGCATCGCAGGCAAAGGCTTTTTCATGCACAAGATGCTGATAACAGGGAAACCAATCCGGATCTATTTTGTTCTTCAACGGTTGTAAAGTAAAAAAGGTGCTCTATAGCCGTCTCCCTCGGCATTTCTCGGCGGATACCACACGTATACACACAACAGCAGCACAGGTGTGACTAGTGCGTTTATATATTTATGTGGTATAAAACTACACGCTTCGCATATGTACTCATCGACGGATTATACCTGTTATGATACAAAAATAAAAATATAGTGCTCCGATAATCCCAAAAGAGAACACAACCGCTCAAACACATTTTTATACACACGCAAACGAACACGAATAGCGTTAAAACTGCAGACGAAAGATGCAGGTGATCGGCAGCGCGTCGACTGGCGGTGCAGGCGTCGTTGTCAGTGTTGGCAGCACTGCCAACAGTATAATTAGCAAAAATATGATAATCAGCAGTAATAACAACAACAACAACAACAACAGTGTAGGCAACAATAATACCGCCGGTGCCATGGGACCGACCCATCTGGTCGCTCTTTACGTGGCGACGGCCGGCCAGCAGGGCAACGCTCTTGGCACCGACGAGGAAGAAATCACGCTGCTCGTTTACGTGCTCATCGACGCGCTCCAGAACAAAGTGAGTGTGCTATTTCCTTTTTTTTTTTTATTCTTCTTGAATGTATATTCTACCCATGCAATTAAATTAATAAAACGTGACAGCTTGACTATCGTTTTTACGAATTTGGTACTGGGTACTTTTGTTTTTTTAAGCAAGTCAAACGAGCGGTCAAAAGGCCTTTGCGTATCGCGGACCATTTTTGCAATTAAACTCTCCATCCCTTTGTTATACAACTTACCTATACTTTCAAGTACACTTGTGCTAATTCATGTAATTATGTCTACACCCTAATTGGGCCCAGCATCTCTTTGTCACTTTATTCTTCAGAAAAAATTACAATACTTGCATTTTGCTTTAAGGATTAAATGGGAATTTGATAAAGGCACGGTAAGAATTTCAAGTGTGGAATTGTACGAGACTTACAATACCTATACTGCTAAGCTCTCTAATTTATAAGATAAAAATTAAATTGATGGATTATTCCGCTAATGGTTGGCTGTTAAGTTTAAAATTTCTAAATGCAAAGGATGATGTGGAGAACGTCAAGCGAAAGGGTACCCATAAAAATTTTTAATGTCCCTGCATGGCTAATGACCGGTTTTTTACGTTTATTACTTTCGTGTTGATATAAGTTGCTTGAGCTCTGTTGAGTAAACTTTAGTTTTAATTGTCTAGCACATCAGACCGAAAAAATTTTTGCTTCGAGTTTTCCTCGAGTCTAACGATTACACTCCACTCCACAGTTTCGTGAAGTTGTTTATTACTGATTAAATTTTGTCTCGTTGGATATCCACGTCGTCATTATTAAAAAGTAATTTTCAAAGTAACGAAAATCATTAAGGATATTTTTGGTAGATACACCTCTGACGTATACATGTATCAGCCTTTTCGGTGAAATCTTCAATCTTTAAATTGTTTTTCATAAAATTGTTCATAACGTATTTGAAAGTAATTAATAACAAATATATTATGCATTATCACAATGGATCAAGGGCAAAAAATAAAATTGAAATTCCAGCGTTAAAAATAAAAGATAAAAGCTTATTGTTATTAAAAATCATGTTGATAAGCTTCCGAATGAAACTGAATTATTGAGTCGCAGCTGACATGATTGAGCAAATATTTTTTTTTAAGTACGTCTTGAAATTCACATCGAAAATACATCGTTTTAAGTTTACATTTTTTTAAACTGAATTTTTTTTCAGCGTACACAAGAAAATTATTTTTATTCTACAATAGCCAGATTATTTTCTAATAGATCTGAAACGCGTATAATATTTAAAAAAAATTACAATGTGCGTTTACTTATTCTAAAAAAGGAATTGCACTTTAAAAAGTTTGGGGCTCATTTGGAAAGAAGAAAAATGAAAAAAATTCGTATAGCATCAACGAATATGGACACTTTATAGATAACGCGTGACGAGTAACGAGTTAAAGGAAAATGTTTATCTACAATCCGAGTACTCTTTGCATATTTTTTATACACGGGTAAATCGATATCTCTCTGACAAGTAACGAAGCAAATCGTACGTAAATCGCACAAATATATTTTAATAAAACTCCCTTCAAGTCTTATCGAGATGCACTTATTCTTCAGAGTCTAGCCGCCGAAGTAGGCTTTCGCGAGCTTTAACGGCACTCGTAACGGATTTTTTCCAGGCGAGCGGGTACACATCGCGTGAAACTCCTGGTGCCGGAATGTAGGTCAAAATCCAGAGTACCCGAGAAGTCCGTGCGATCGTTTGGTACTTTTATTGCGAATTGTATATTACATGCGCGGTTCCGACGATTTTATTTCTTTGCGTCTCAACATTGTTTTATTGTTTATTTGATTTTTCATGGCAAATCCAGTGTATGTGTATTTGAAACAAACATGTCTGAAGCCTCATTTGATTTGACATTTGTCTTTAAAGGTAAACTTTGTAAAATAATTTTTTTTTGTGGTGTACAATCCTGCAAAATGTACCTACGTGTCATGAAACAAGTTGTGCATTTTGGGTTCGTCAGAATATTTACATAATATCAATTATCAGTTAGTGGAAAATTTTTTCAATTACGATCAATTTCATCAGAGTTGACGATTAAGGAAAACCCAATTGTAACAAAAAAAAAAAAAAAAGTTATACTAATCATAGAGGCTTTTATATTGATCATATTTATAAAAATAATTTGGCTCTTCAGTTTTTTCATAGCCTATCGAAATATACCGATCCACGAACAGACACAAGTCAGCAAAAATCATTATACCAGCGTTCCGTTCCGCAAAGTTCACAAACAGCGAGAAAAGAGGGAAAGAAAAAAAAAATGCTTGTAAATCTTGGCTTCCAAAGCAGCGGCAATGTTATTGTACTTGCTCTCGAGATCCCCACAAAGTGTAACAGGAAATCACCGCCGCACTGCTAGCTCGGCCATATCTCCGTTCCACCTTGCGTTCAGACTTTCCTCGCGATGAAGAAAACAAGTCAGCAGCCCCTCCGTTTGCTCCGATCATTCCTTCTCTCCGATGATGCTCGGCAGCGCTCCAAAAAGACACTCTCTCTTCCGTCATTATCCTTTGCTCCTTTTTCTCCTCTCAGAAATGCGCGCACGTGTGCTGTATCCTGTAGGTATATGACATGTGTGCGCTGTACTGTACAGTGCTGATATAAATTAAAGACGCGGCAGAGGTTCTCTTTTCCTTTTTGTTTTTTTCGTCTTTCCAGTTCACATATTATATAAAAACTCGGACGAGAAGAAGAAGAAGCATTGCAATGCAAAACACGCGCCCGTGAATCTTGCGTGAGCCGCATTGCTCTGTTTGCCTTGTTTTTTTTTTTTTTTTTTTTTCTTGTGTTTGTTGCGTGAGCCAAAAAATTCTTTTTCCTCCTGTACAAATTTTACTTCTCTCCACAGTCAGTCGAGGAGTTATTTTCTTGCGAATCCAGTTCTATAGGTATATTGGGTATTATCTGTAATTTTAATGAGATGATTTTTATGTAAGCAATGACTGTATTGCATACGGAGGTGTTGAGTATAAAAATGTGAAAACAATAGTCTAATAAATTTACTTTTCAATTGTAATAAGCTGGAAAAGTGGAGATTTATTCCTATGAGAAAAAGAAGGGCTGTTGCAATGGTACGGTAATTAATTGTATACTTTTCGTGCTGTGTTTCGCAATAGAAGGCAGTCGATTTAGTTAATTTACAATAACTTTTATTGTGTTACAATTTTTTTTCTTATTGAAATAATTAAGTTTTCTAAATAGTTTGAACTTGATCATTGAATCTAATGTAACTTTAATTTGAAAAAATTTGTTAAGATTATTTAAAAATACACTTAATTTATCGTTGTGTGTAGAAAAAAAATCTAATTATGCATCAGAAATTATCACTACAATGCCTTCTCATTGTCATAATATACCTTATTCAAAACAACAGTTACAACATTAAGTACATGGATGATAGTACAATTAATTAATAATTACAAGCTTCATGAAATAAACAATTTTTAAACCTATAAATGTTGTTGTTTTTTTTTATTACTATTTTCGAGTAATTTATTATCGCTTCGTAAACACAACTCATTTAGAACATTGTTATACTATTAATAACCTATTATTCAATACAAAAAAACCTTGATTATTTGGCGGGGGGGGGGATTCTAAAAAAGTACCTTTTTTGTCCATGCAGTAAAGAAAAACATAACAATCACCACTGCAACAATTTTCCAAAGCAAACCGACTAAATACGTCACCACCATATTGCTGCACGCGGAACTGCCATTGTTTCAGCTCTAAAAAGCTCTCCCGACTCTGTTTCGGTCGGTCCGTTCGTCGGAGGCGGAGCGTCGCGCCCTCGGAAGGTCGTTTTCGCTCTTGCGCCGTGGGTAGGTAGTATAGTCGTCGTCATCGCTGCCGCCGAAACACGTGCTCTTCCCTCTCGTTCCTGTATCCGTATGCGTGTGTGGGTACTATACGCAAAACATGGCCGACGACAAACCGTGAGCTTTACGATATGTGCCGTGTGTTTGCAAAGATAAATTGAATTTACGGCTTATTGTGAATTTTTATAACATCTTACGGTTCAAGGAGCTAAAGAAAGACATTTCATCAATAACTTTGGTTTTAATTTTATAGAAAATATAAATTTCTAACGAGGGTGATGTCATTGAATAAATATAAAAAATACACTTATCTAATTTCTTAATTTTAAACATGTATTGTATTTTTTTTTTTTTTTTTTTTTTTTTAATAATTTTCTGTAGAAAAATGTGACAGGTCATCGTAAGGATAACTTATTTTTCTCGCGTAAAGCATTGCTTGATCAAAGATTTTTAAAATGTGATTCGGATCTACATACGTAAGATGGAAATAAGCAAATATATCGTGTCATTGTATGGCTCTCCTCGCTTTGTATACAATGTGGAGGTCAAATGCGGGTTGGCGATTGCTTCCTGTCCCGGATATGCTGCACGAGCACGACGTCAGTAACTAACAGTCGCATAGCCAGTCCATCGGCCCATACGTAAAAACTAACTCGTGTAAACGATTTTCATTTTGAGGCTCCTCATTGCACCGTAGGTTTAAAAATTCGATGGAACGGAAACCAGAGGCGGAATAATATAAGGGTTATTGTTCGGTATAAAACTTGTATCTTGAACCAAGAAACTATTGTCCCGATAATGTTGATTTATTTACTATTAAAATTGTGACACATGATTTATGCGCCAGAGATATAGAAGTTCTTCATCAGACTTGTGCGTGGGCACATTTTTGATAGAATATTAATCCATACGTTTGAATGGTTAATGTAAAAGTTTGATGATAATTGAATGATAATAAAATAATTAATGAACATGAATAATCGTTTTGGCAACTGAACGGAAAAAAGGATATTTTACCCAACTGTATATTANTTGCTTCGAGTTTTCCTCGAGTCTAACGATTACACTCCACTCCACAGTTTCGTGAAGTTGTTTATTACTGATTAAATTTTGTCTCGTTGGATATCCACGTCGTCATTATTAAAAAGTAATTTTC